CCGATCCAGAGAAGAGAGTTGATACCGGCTTCCTGAAGCCGAGGTAGTCCTGGATCCCGATCCAGAGAAGAGGGTTGATGCGGCTTCCTGAAGCCGAGGTGGTCCTGGATCCCAATCCAGAGAAGGGAGTTGGTTGGTGAAGCCAAGGTAGTCCTGGATCCCAATCCAGAGAAGGGAGTTGGGCTTGGTGAAGCCAAGGTATTCCTGGAGTCGATCCGGAGGAGAGAGTTGATGTCGGCTCCCTATAGCCAAGGTGGTCCTGGATCACGATTTAGAGAAAATAGTTGATATTGGCTTACGGAACTAGGTGGTCTTGGATCCCGATTCGGAGGAAAAGTTGATACCGGCTTTTAAAGCCATGGTGGTCCTGGATTTCGATCCAGAGGAGAGATTTGATGCTTCGTGAAGGCGGGGTGGTGATCCCTATCACGACGAGACAGTTGATTTTGGCCCACTGGTGGTCCCAGATCCCAATTCAGAGGAAGGATCTGAGTCATAGTCTACTTTTAAGGCGTTGATAAGCCGCGGTTTTTTCAGCTGGAGAGGAGCTCGCCTTTTTGAGATTGCAATATATTCCTGTTGATGATAGGTTGTAGGCAGAGGTGGCTAATATGAAAGAGAGCTGGAGCCGGCTTTCTGAAGCTGAGGTGTACGTACTTACAAAAAGTTGATAGTGGAGGTAGTTCCTAGTATTGCCACGTTGATATTATAGTTCTGCATCTGCACGCTCGTGTGGTATCGGTAACCAACTAGGGTAACGGAAGAATGAGGTCGAGGACGCCGTGAAAGTGAGGTGTTATTGGGCTTTTTGCGGGTTTTTTGAAGTTCTACTCTGCGGAAGGCAGCAGAAACTGGCCAGTTTTGATGGGAGAAGAGTGATGCGTATACGTCAAGGCTTTCTTCTAGAAGTGCTGCCCCCTTTTGTTGAAGCAAGTTCTCTTGCTCAAGATCAGAAAAGCGACGCACGGTCATAGTAATCATGGCGGCTTCTTGGCGCCGAAATGTAACTGGTCGCGAGGGCCTCGGAAGTGCCGAGAATTGCGCCACACTTCTGGCTAGAACCGTATGTGCCAAGTCCATATATGAGGGTTTATATTCACACATTCCCCTTCAGCAGCGGCGTATAAGTCTAAAGTGAAACGAGAACAGATGAACAAAGCTTTGAGCACGGGGCACTTAGCTTTTATGGCCAAGGGGTCTAATGACCTTAGTCTCTCATGACTCAAGGTAGCAGAAGAAATTACAGAATGGGCGTTTTCTGTGAGCATTCCTGGCAGCATATGCGAGCCACGGCGAATTTTTTCGGATCATGTGGCCAACTGGTCGTGTTTTTGTGTCATCCTTACGCTTCACTTAACGGAAGAAGTATGCAACTCATACGCAGGTGAATCTCTGTGAAGGCAGTGCAAACTCTTGATTGGGTCTCAACAGTCGTTGTCGGTGAGATCTGCTTGAATCTAATTCATTACCACATGGTTGCGGTTGTTCGAGCTTAGTTTCGTTGCAACTATTCATTGCTTTTTGTCCGAAGCATATAGCAGTTTATGACTACACTATTGGTAACAAGCTGGCAGCGCTCTTTAAGTTTGTCAAGGGCAACTCCGTATAAGAGAATTTGATCCCGTTCACATGTACTGCTGTCTGATATCCAACGGGAAGTCATCTACCGAGTCTTGATCAACTAAATCTCTAGAAACTGCCGTGTGTTCAACATATCGTGTGGGTTCCAATACAGATTCCATTATGTAGCTGGATATTCAATGGATACTAGTTCCATAGATATGCTATTAAGGTCGGAGGCGGCGAATTCAAATAGTGTTTGAAGAAAGCGAAGCTTGGCGAAGGTAGACGCACAATAAATGCGTACTCAGACAAAAGCAGTGTTGTAGTCGCTTCCAGTTTCAGTGCTTCAGACGTTGCCAAGGTCATGGCACTGCGGCTTAACATGTTCAAGCTGGAAACTACCACAGTCCGATGATGACTGTAGCCTTTACAGCCTCACGTTTCCAAGAGGACGTATGGCCCATTATAAGGGATTTCAGATGATTGTTCTGCTGGAATGTTAGGCAATCATTAGGGTTCAGTGTATAGTTAGCACCGAATATTCGTGTTCGACTAATTTATTCGAAATATTCGACTATTCGAATATTCGAATAGTCGAATATTTGAGAATGTCCATTTATTCGATTATTCGAATAGTCGAATAAATGAAAAAGACCTATATTCGAATAATTCGTTCATTCGACGATTTCGAGAAATGACTTATTCGAATATTCGTTCATTCGAGGAGTTTTAAAAAAAGGTTATTCGAATATTCGTTCATTCGAGTAATTTTAAAGGTAGTTATTCGAATATTCGAATATTCGAATATTCGAATATTGCATTCAAATATTCGAATAATATTCGAACATTTATTCGAAATTAGTCGAATATTCGATCAAGTTCGGTTATTCAAGTATTCGTTCATTCGAATTCTGGAATGTGCCAATATTCGAATATTCAAATTCGAATAAAATGAAAAACGAAATTCGAATAATATTCGTTCGTTCGAAGAATTTTCGAAAATCAAATATTCGATATATTCATTCGTTCGAAAAATTTTCGAAGATCAATTATTCGCTATTCATTCATTCGAAAAAATTTCAAAAAATGATTATTCGATATTCGTTCATTCGGCTAAAATTTCTGTTCGTTACAACTATAGTTCAGTGTGTTACATGCTCACTTAGTGATTTGTATTAAGCCTTTCGGTTCGGACCTCTGATCTTGCTCATCTGCCGTGCTTCAGACAGATATCTCGTTTTCGACGCTTTGAGCGTGGAATAGATAGAGTTCCGCCATCGACTCAAGAATCTGGAGGTCACTGTGGGTTTCATTTTCAGCCCCTTCATCAAAGCGTCTCGGAGAGAAACCTCGTTACACTCCTGCCCCCATGCCCTCGGGCTTTACCTGTTCCGCTTGTGTTGCGAAAGGGCAAAACATAGGTTTTGCCGTAGTCTATCGGAGGCAAAAGTGGAGTTTTGCAATTTCGCAACACGCTGGCTGTGTGCCAAGCACGCGGGGCGGAGCTTTTGTGGGGCGCGTGCTTGGCACTGTTTTGACCATTCCGGTCTTTCGTCAGCTTAGGACCCACCCACCCACCCGAGACGGGGCTGCTGACAGATAAGGAAGCGCGCCTAAGGATGCATTTAGATTCTTGCAGGAATTTTGGAAGGGCGAAGCAAGGCATGGCAATGATCGAGAGGAAATGGACAAAGTGTGCTGTGTGGATTCTCATCGGAAAGGCGTTACAACGTAGATCAAGTACGACCACAAGAAGAAAGATACGTCTCATATCGTTTGTGCAGTTGAGAGCATAGCAATGCATATGTAACACTAGGTTCTACCGTCTAGATTTGATGTCAGTCATTCCAGGGTGTTTGAGTCATTTGCTTCTTGGATTTGGTGTTCTGGATGTACCGGTAAATTAGGAGGTCGTTTCGGAGATGTTGATTGGCATTGTTCCTTGTTACATGTACAGTCCCGTCAGCAAGGGCAACATCATTATACAGGGTGTCCCAAAAAAATGTGCCTACTGTTTGATTGTAAATAACTCTCTTGTAACGAAGTGTTTCGAGAAGCTTTAGGAACCGTTTTGTAGAGCGAGGTTAAGCTTAGATTTGCAGTATGGAGCGAATCATCTATCACTCTTCATTACTGTAGGATTACGGTACGAAATTCGACAAGGATTTTTGGGCCACTGGAGGCTATATTCTGCCTCGGAACAAAACCGAACAAGCCAAAAACTCTTATACCAGGGTAAAGGGAGCTGCTGTTTCCGAATTTGAAATTTCCATTCTACTGTGATGCTTCTTTCCAAAGTTATCCTTGGTAAATCGTAATAACTCAGTTCCCAGCATCTGTCAGAAATGTAACTACATCGTCAAAAAAGCTGAAAACAATCGTAAAAAGTTGTTAGGTGGAATCAGCATGCGCGAAAACCTTAATACACGATTTTTCAGATTTTTTGAAAAAAATTTTATTAGGTGGTAAATTTCACATTAAATCCATATGCTGGAAGTTCTTACCGTAATCCTACAGTAATGAAGAGCGACCGATGATTCGCTCTATGCTGCAAATCTAAGTTTAACCTCGCTCTACAAAACAAAACTTTAAAGCTTCTCGAAACACTTCATCACAAGACAGTTATTTACAATCAAACAATAGGCACATTTTTTTGGGACACCCTGTATATGTAGGTTCTCCCGCTCCCTTACTCTCCTTCCAATCTCATTGATCATTAGCCCACAGGGCGTTTGTTGTTCAGTTGTATCAGTGGATAATTTGTGCTGGGAGCGTTCCCAATATTATGTTCATAGCTGACGAATGAACCTTCACCCCCCGCTTGTGTTGCGAAAGGGCAAAACATAGGTTTTGCCGTAGTCTATCGGAGGCAAAACAGAAGTTATAACTCTATCGAGCGTTGTTTCTCTGCATTCCATTTGAGGCAAAAGCTCCTCCAAAAAGGTAACGACGACTTGAAGAATGTGGATATGACAAGCAAGCATAGACTGACGTTAGGTTGTTGATTCTTCAATTTTCCCGAACTAAGAAGCCCAAAATCCATGAAGATGTAGATCAGCAAATGATGAAAAGAACTTGTGAACCCATTAATACACCATTATTTTACTTAGTAAATACTACTGGTGTTACAAAATTGATATACGGAAGAGAGAGGAAGATGAAGAGCTAAGCGGGCAGGAGGAATAATGATACACGATCATAAAAGATGTTTGCATATTGGTATGGATGTAACCATTAAGTGCATGATTTCCCGGTGTGTCACCGCTTCTTAACTCGGTAACAGTCTCATGAGGTTAAGATGTAGCTTGGAAGACCTCAGAGAAAAATTTGCTCACGGGCTGTTCTACAAAACCACAATGTAGTTGCAATATTCTAGTGGTTCGAAAGTCAGACAGGGAAAGGGTAAAAGCAAATATACTTTGAAATAAGGAACGCACCATCTGTAATCTTCAGCATTCAGAAGGAAGTAACAGCAGACTATAGTGACGCAAACGGTGACGATTGCCAAAATGATAGTGACAAGAAGCATGAAGCCGTACACGTAGTAAATCTTGTATGCCCAGAATGATGTGAAGATGAAATACCTAAAATGATGTGAAGATGAAATACCTGAACACAACTACAGAGGAAGTGAAAATGAATGCATAGTAACAAGTTAACGGTAAACTTACATCTCGATAAAGATGCTACCAAATGGTAAGACTCCTCCCATGAGTACAATCAACCATGGCTGCACAAACCACTTTTTGTCAGGAATAGGTCGAGGTACAGCATTTACCCTACAAATAGACAATTATAGGTGTATATCGAAGTGGAGTGTAACAAGTCACCTGCACGGGTAATCTCCTTGACCAGACATGTTGCGACCCAATACCGTTCCAACAAGGGTCAATGGAAGGATGACGAAGAGACAGATGGCAGTGACAGCAAGCTGAAATTGTGTACTAATTTATAGCATGGTCTTCAATTCCACCAAAATGATGTTACTACAATAATTTGTTGTTTGTTACTTACGTGCTTTCGGAAGTAAACAAAAATTATCGGAAGCCTGTTAGAAACTTGATCTTACAGGCACTTGAACAATTCACGATAACATAAAAACTCTGGGGAAATAGTGCACTGAAAAGAGTGCTCAAACGTTGACTTGCTGCATCTTTCAGACCCAGAATAGGTTCATAAAAGTGTGTCAGAAAACTGATTTACACTGAACAATTTGAATTGACGAGGATAAGATTTTATAAGAGATGAGTAAAGCTAGTTTATCTATATTATATTCAACAGAGCAACTCAAGTTCAGGTACAAATATCAGATTGTCATAAAAAGTAAACTCCTTTTTTGGATAATTCAAGCTGTTTTTGCTTTACTAGTAGACTTGGGGTATCATTCGATAGAGCAGATCAAGCTCTATAAAAAGACCACAAAGGGTTCGCCTAAGTCTCATTCCATGTGAAGTTTGAAGCCAAAATCGAAAATAATTTTCTCACCTGAAAATTGGATTTTTGCGAGGGAAAGCCCTACGGACCTCCAACTTGGTCAATATACAGTAGGCACATAGTAGTACTCAAATATGCTTTTGTCGAATATTTTCCGAGAATAGAAAGCGAGAAACAAAAAATGTCCAAAAATGGCAAACTCCGCCCCCAGCCTCTCTCAAATATGTCATTGCATACTACAAGCCTTACCAAGTGCAATTTCAAAAATTTACCCCTGTATGTGCTCTTATAATCGAGAAATACCAAGTTTTAAACAAAAAACCCGAAAAAAGTGGCATTTCGGCATTTTTGGACCATCTTTTTTTTCTCAATTTTGAGCCCCGACAAAAATCCGCCAAATACATTTTTGGGTACTACTATGTGTCTACTATATAAAACCAAGTCCGTAGGAATTTTCTGGAAGGAGATCCGATTTTAAGGGTAGCTAAAAAATTTTGGTTTTTGGCCCCAAATTTTGCCTGGATTACGACTTAGTTAGGTGCTTGGTGGTCTTTTTGTAGCGCACGGCTCTATCGAATGGTACCTTAAGTCTATCGGGAAAACAAGAACAGCTCAATTTATTTGAAAATGGAGTTTACTTTTGGGACAACCTAATATAATAACCGTAGTAGGGGTAGCGCACGAGATAACTGTAAGACTTTCTCTTGGTTCCTAAAAGAGACGTTATGCTCAAGCCACTTTAACGACTTTGCGGTTCACCAGGTAATTCCTTATAAAAAGATTTTGAGCACAAAAGAGCGTGACTGAGTGTCAGTCGATCATTTCCGTGATGAAAAGCTTACTGAACCATGTTATCACCGCACACTTCTGGACAAAACAAGTTGCCCGGAACTGCTGATTTCTCGTAAAAGCAAAAGACATCGTGCCTCCCGAGTATGCGGCCGTTATAGCGCTGTGAGAATAGTTATTTCCACAGATAAGCAGCACAAGAGGAAGTTGCTACTTACTGGTGTATATGCGCGCAAGTAAGTGGCAAAACTTTTGTAAATGACGAGGAGAGATCATCTGCGCTTAGAATAATGCGGAGGGAGTTTTTTTCAATCAGTGAAATTTCGCAAGAGGGATATGATGCTGAGAGCCCCTCCCGGCAATGGTAAACATATTCTTGTGCAATGTTATCAGTCAGACAGTCAGACCGAGCGGAACGGCCGTCCACTATCGCCAATATGCACGCTCCTCGTTCGCAGAAGTCCTTTATCCGCCCCCCCCCCCCCTCCCCTCTTTTGAGCTACAAATTGAAAGCTGAGTCATCAATGACTGTAAACGTCTGTGGGAAAACCATGGAAGAAGCTCAAAGAAACAAATTTTCAAAATTCATAGCAATATGCACATTCGAAACAGTATTATCTCACTATAAATAACTCACCATCACAGTGAATGGAATAGCTCTCGAGGCGTGGTAGTAGATAGCGATGAAGTTGATGAGGAATGCAACTCCGCAAACCTATAATGAGAAAGTTACCAGCTGATACCCATGATACCTGTGCCAAAGTAATTACCAAGCTAGGAAGGAGGAAGGCTCCGAGTGCCATCTGTCGGATCCAGTGACGTCCCCCAAATCGGGCGTACATTGAGCCTCCAGCATATCCGTTGACCGGTGAGCTGGCAGCGTAAACAAAGATAGCGGCAGAAAGTAAAGAGCCACGTCTGTAAAACCATCAATAGCGCTAATCCAGCCAAAAAAACCTCACAACGCCGCTGCTAGCAAAAAGCAAAAAAAATAGTCGCCCACTCTGTATAGAATTCGCCGACAATGGCTAGCACGATTGTTATAACCGCTACTGTAAACACATGGTAGCCGGCGCCGATGCAACTCGAAAACAGCAGAGGCATCGCTGGAGCTCGGAAAACGTCTCCGTGTACTTGCTTCCATCCATATTCATCGCCCAAGTCAGCATCCTGAAAACGATAGATTGGAACTGGAAGGGACAACATATGGACGCCCATGCAAAATTTCACCAACTTCCTCAACAATAAAACAAAACTTGTTGTTACGATTTTCAATCAATTACAACACAGTCATTGCCGCTTTTAACCATTGCTCACCACTCAACTTGTATAAAAATCTAGAATCAAGCCTTTCGAAGGCTTTGCGAATGTTTACAACAACTAAGCTGCTTCACAGGGCCACAGCTAAGACTGCTCTCACGTTTTGACTTATGAAAAGCAAGTGATTGTACGTCCGCAAAGGATTACGCCGTCGGGTTTTTTTTTTTCGCTAGCGATTGAGACGTTTAAGACGGCTTAGACGCCTTCTCAACACCATACTTCAAGAAAACCATGTACAAATATCATTTCTGAGCACATTCTGTTCAAAATAAGGGTGCCGATGCAGGGCTACTGCAATATAATCTATTAAACCGCCATCTGCTATAAATTTCTGAGTTTGCATTTCAACTCGATTAAAAAGTGTTACTGCCCAAAAGACATATAGGGCATTCGAAAAATCGTGGCAATGGCGCGAGCGCGCGCGACACGCACGCACTTCCATCTCTTGGTTTCTGTCTCTTGTCGTCACGATTTTGAGAATGAACCATAGCTACCATTGGAATAAAGTAACTCTTCTTGCAAATAGCTTTGTCATAAAGCAAGATAGAGAAGACTTAATCTTGGAGTAAACAAACAAAAAACACAACTGACCAAATCGTCCATGTTGTCCTCTTTCTGATATCTTGCGTAATCTTTGCGGAGTGTCCTCACCAAGATCATCCACACCAAACCAACAAGGAAGACAACCATCATAAAACTGTTGAAAATGGAGAACCAGTGGATCTGAAAGATTCCGTTCTAAATTCAACAAAGGAGAATCAAACAATGACGAACTCTATGTTGGAAGAAGCTTGGATCTAGATATTTGTCGAATCTGTCTGCGAACTTGATAGGAGACTGCACCCATTTAACCTGTAGGACAATCCTATTTTATGCATTCCAGCAAGATAAATTCTCTCAATACTGATTATACCTCATAAGAGAACTCCAATTCAACACCTGGATGGATTTCAACATGGCCACCGGAAGTTAAGTTGACATCAACAACCTAAGAAAATTGAGTATTAGAGGGAAACATGACAGCTGTCATAACAAGAGTTCACGAGACTCCGCCAGACCTGCTTGTCGTCATATCCAATGTCCAGTTGCTTGTGCGTGTAAAGTTTGTATGTTGGAGGAGATTGAGAATCATCTACTTCACCAACCATTCCTGTGATATAAAAGTTAGAGATAGGAAAAGCCCTGTGTTAGTGACAATGAGACCACTATCAAATAGGTAAATGACAAAAGAATCAACATTATCAATAAAGAAATAAATCAAATCGAAAAGTTTACCCCATATTGGCATGTCATCCAGGTACATCTGGTAGAAATAACTGTTTTTGATGGCATAGACGAATGTTTGGTATTCGTCTGCAGTTAACTTCTTCTTGCAATATACTGTCTTCTTCGTATTGGCTGAACAATCTGGCCTGATAAGCAATTCAAGAAACGTCTGAATGCACTTACTTCTAAACTTTATGTCCAGTCCCGAAAAGTCGAGTTCGATACCAAGCAGAGATTCGCCCATAGTCTCATGATAATGACCAATGGATTCTTTCGGGCCTCGACAGAATGGTAAAGAGAAGTACGTGTACGTCTCCTGTCGGTTACTGTACGGACCAACCTGTAAAATGTTTGAACGAAGTTCATTCGTTGTGAGCATTTTCATTCCACTGTACAACAAATCGATTATCGTGCACAGGGTCCATTCATAGCGCTCTTTTCTAACTTCTGCGGATGCATCAGTCAATTCGAATCGGCGCTGACGTATTTAAATCAGATATAGATTACGCTTACTCCCAAATCGTGGTAGCCAATGCGAAGACAACTGCGAATCCGAAAGAGTACCAAATTAGCACTTTCATGCAAAGCATCAATGCATACATTTTGAAAAAGATATAGACTAGCCAAGTATCTCGATTGATTGCTCAGAGAATCAAAACGGCGAAGCTGTCATTTTCAGCAAAAGAGTGCGGTTTATTTTAACTTTAGAAGGGGAATTGCAAAACGTGACTGTTTTGATCACATATGCATTTGTCGAGTTAGTTACCGCAAGTAAATGCTTCACAGAAGAAAATATAAGCATTGATACTATAACAGAAGCCTGTGATAAGCACGACTGCAAAAAATAACGTATGAAAGCAGCATATTCCTGGCATATGGTTGCTCCAAAAGATATACCTGTATCCAAATCTTTTTTTGAACAGCTAGTTATGGAAAAAACTTTTTTTGCGAGCATTCCTTACATCGCTTGAATGCTCTTTTCTCCAGTTTTCCATGCAAGCTCTTCTTTTCCTAGAGCTTCGGTCTTGCGATTTTGTTTGTTGTAAGGACAACAAAGCAAATGCAGAATCTTCCCATTTGCTTTACTTCCATGATATGAACCGGCTTCAAAGCTCTATCGTTTGGTGGAAATGCTTAGCCCCTATCGGTATGACTCTCAAATAAAATTTTGATCTTCTTTCGACATAAATCTAGTGTCGTCTTGTCGTTATAAGTCGCATAAAAATCAAAAGATGCTAATCGCTCTATATAGCGAGGCTGAAGCTGGTACATTTACTTTCACAAATGATAAAAGCCTCAATTTTCTGCTGCGAAAAAAGTAAAATCTCTAAAAAAAATGCATTTTCTTGCCACTTCAGAAAAAGCGACTCAATGGGTCTTCGAATTTGCTTGCAGATACATGCGAAGATATTCTGTAAACTTCGAAGCTATTACTGTTCGAACGACCATTAAACTATAGATTTGTGCCTATCCTAGTGAATCCCATAGTTTTTCGAGAAACAAATTCACGACAATCTTGACCAGCTTAATCTTTAGACGAAGACTTCTCTCACACAGGATGACACTACTGCATGCAATGCAACACACCATCGTTCATTTCCACACATTTACGAAAGCTTGTGATTAAACATAGCACTTGAGGAGAAAAACTTTAGCTATGCAAGATAACTGACCGTGTTCATCCATAATACTACTTCCTCATCGATCTCGTATATGTGATCGTGTTCATCAGCCTCGACGAGGTAGGATATGAGAAGGAACAAACCAATGAGGAACCGTACCCGCATCCTAAAATAGCCTCGAACGAATGTCTGAATACAATGATAGCTGTTCACGAGAAGGATAAATGATATATAAAGTCACGGAAAAGTTGAAGAAGGCATTACAAAGTCAAACTGACCAGGTAAATACACGACTCATAGCAAAATCAAAAAAAAAAAACAACTTTGTCGATAAAGTCCACACCTACTGCTGCTTGAAAATTAAAGGAGAACGCTCGCGATCCAAAAATTACTACGTGGTGAACGGCGTGCGCATTGTACGTGGCTATTTTCCAGAAAACTCGGACAACACGCTTAGAACGACGCCGCACGCGAGACTAGAGAGTTGTGCGTTTGCGGCCTGCGCTTGCTCAGGATTCCAGTCACGATGTCTGCTTTTGTAGGATAGGGTGTCTAAGGGCAAAACTGTGTTTTCTAGCCTCCGAGAATGCCCAACACCGCTTTTCGGGAGACTTAGGCTGGTAGTCGCCCAGGAGCCCGCGCCGCTTTTGCTGCCAAAACGCCATTTCTTCTCAATGAGCATGCCAAAACACTGGCCCCATTTAAATCTACAGAGTCGGCTGCGCGGGCGGTCGCGTCGCGGGCGCAGCTTTTATCAACGGGTCACGCTTGCCATCGTGCAATGCTAAATCTTAACATTTCGGTATGTGCTTTCGCTAATCGATTGGTGATCGAGGGCACTGCAGTTTACACTTTATGGGCTCTTCCCGTACGTCAGCCACCAAATGTTGCTGAGACTCCAGATAGATATTTCAAGAGCCTGTTTTGGATAACTGTAAGGTTTGCTACCTATGTTGGGCAACCAAGCTCGGATGGAAATATCACATCTGCTTCTCGAGTTTATGAGATGGTGTTAATCTCAATTTAGTTTCGAGCTATGACCTTGACAGCTCCCATGGTTCAAGCTATTGCATTGAGCTAATGCATTTGGATTGTGTTATCACGAACAGTTAATCTTAACAAAATTCTGAAGTTTTGGAAAAGCTGGTGAGCATTTATTTTTACCGTGCTCAAATCTTTACAACTCTTATCCTTACTTCTGGTTTTTTCAATGGCAGATTGACTCAACAAGTTAGTTTGCGCCTGTTTTTGGAAAAGGTAATTTGCAAAATCGTACAGTTCGTGTGAAAAAGTAAAATCGATAGCTTGGCATGCGAAAACTTTTGCACTAGAGATGGGTTCTACATCAACAGATGACTTCTTTACGATAAGGATACGGACTCCTGCTCTTGAGCACCTTTTTGTAAGTTTCTCCGCCTCTAATGTATGTGCAACGATGTTCTGGAGAGAGATGCATGTCAATTACTTATAAGATCTTGATTTACATGGTCTCCTGAGTCTTCCAACACATATGTTTCTGGCGTCCACTATCCGACAGTTACCTAAGAGTCGCTCTAAGGCATCCAAAGTTGATTATTCTGTGCTTGTCCTATGTAAGGAGTATGCAATTCAGTATGGCAGAGATGAACACAGCATACAGAAGGATTTCCTACTATAAACTAAACTGCAGAGAATGATAGAACGTCTTTTTTTTCTTCATATCAAGTTGTCCCTTTTGCATAGTCACAACAAGATGGAATGACGGAACATCTTTTTTGCTTTATGTGATGACTAGTACTCCATTCCACATGCACATGCAAATGAAATCATGTTTTATCTCTCAAAAAGAACCTCACTAGCCCAAATACCAATAATCCTGCACGAGTTGAAGAATCGGAGATTTTAAGAATAGTCGAGATTCATGAAAGCGTTCACTCTATAGTATGCTTACCACGGATCTAACAAAAAAGAAAAGACTTGCGATACCTTTAAAGGATGTAGACATGCTAGGCAGCATTTGCAAACGCATTTGGTAAACTAAACTCACAATCACATGAGTGACATATCAACTTCTTCGGATCAAGCGCTAAGCTCAATCTCCCCGAAAAAATCGCCACATTTCATTCACTGCCACGGAAGCCGTGATCACCACACTTCAATGCCACAGAAACCGTTGCTGTTGTCAACAAGTGCAAGTGACCACATTGCACATAACAAACTTAGTGTCCATCCAGCAGAGTGCAGCACCCACGGCAAGTGTGAACCGATGATAAAAGCTGCGCGCGCGACGCGACCGCCCGCGCAGCCGACTTTGTAGATTTAAATGGGGCCCAAAACACTTAACGGATCCTAAGCAGTCCTGTTTCGGTACCCTGGCAGCTGCTGCACTTACACGATGAACGGCTGTCAAGCAAAATGATGACCATTTTCGGAATCAGCATGATAAATTACCCCCGTGCCATAAAATTCAGTTTAAGTAGCAATATTTGGAGTTATTTAGTTCTAACAAAATTTTCTTTCATCATTTTTGAACTCCAGAGAGAGGAGGAGGAAGTAGAAGTTAAAAATTATTAACCACAGGTGTGAGGTAAGTAGTTAATATTGTATTTACACCAAGAACGCATTTCTGACACATGGTGTCAACTGGGTGCCGTGTCGAGGTCTATCCAACAGTGCCCCATATGGGATCGGCCACAGTTTGCCGACAACTGTTGCCAGGGTTGCCGAGGCGCTGGCGTTGCCGATCGTTGTAGAACCTCATAGTACCTCTCTGCGTTTTACGCATTTGAGCGCCGACCCCAACAACCTCGGCAACCTGGCAACCCCGACAATTTCGGCAACCCCAGCAATCCTGGGAGCAGTTGCCGGGTACTTATGGCCGATCCCTACGGATTGCAACAACGGCGCACATCCGGTTGATGAAGAGTGTAGGAAACTGCTGTTGGACGGAAAGAGAAATGCCAGCCTTCTCGAGGCAATCGGCTGCTGATGGCGGAACTTCTCACAAGGGAAGCTGGTGAAAGCCGCAAGCCTGATCCACTGCTTCAAAAGCGTTCTGCAAGTGAGGTTCGGTTTGGTAACATTTCGCTCTGTTACAAAGGCGTATCGCTGAACTAAGCAAGTCTTCCATTCCGTACATGAAGATTGCGCCAAAATGTGGATGCAGCAAGAGATTTTCAGCGACGTAATACCTATGAAGTCGTGACAATGGCGGCAGACAAAGAATCTTTTGCAAGCTGTGAATAATGCAGTGCCCTGCAATCAGAAATCTTCCACCGCTCCCCGAATAATTCTCAGGCCCAGTAGATATAAATTATCTGAGAATTTTGTATCTATGGGTTGTTTATAAAATCGTGACGGCGGATTTGACTGCGGTCTTTGCCAACACAGGAGCATAAAACATTTATCCAAAAGGCAACACCTCAACGCTTAGCTCAGTCACTTCCAGTGTCTAAATACTAACATACGTAAGCAGGAAAACCATTCGAGTATAGATGAAAACCAAGAAAAGGCTTCGGAAGTGCGTGCGTGTCGCGCGCGGTCACGGCATCGTCACGATTTTTTGGCTGCCCTATACCTACTAAAAGGTGTCCCAAAAGTCTTTGACTTGAGCGAATAAACATGAACAGATGAAAATTGGCACACAGTTATTCATACGACTCTAACAATTAGGTAAACTCTTGGGTTGGATTGTCCTCCGAGGCCTTTGAGAAAGCTCCAAACAGTCCAAGTTGATTCACAAGACCGATACAAAAAATCCAGGGAGTCCAGTGAAAAAACGTCAGTCTGCTACATTTCTGAGAACTGCAAAACGACCAAATGTTGCATTCAACCTCCTGAGGACATCAAAAAAATATTGCAATGATGGTGTAACCGGAAATAAAATACCGCACACTGTTTCTGTAATAAATGCGAGCCGCATAGCGAATCAGCGATTCAATTGGTTTTGCACTAATGTTCAAGCTTCTTCGGGTTTTACTTCCAAAATCTTATACTTTCCAGTGGCACGACAACATTATAAGAACTTGTGTTTCAATTTTACGTTAATGGACAGAGACCAGTGCTTTATTTTATACTGTGAACATAGGGTAAACTAGCTCTACGAGATGAAATTTGAGGGTCAGCTAAAGCTCCAAGACAGAAGAGTTGTATGTACGTCTCAATGGGTGCTTTTCACTCAGCTCAACCTTGAAATCGTAGAACTGTTTGTTTCGAGAAACCGTCTGAGAATGCGATGCAAGAGAGCGGATTTTTTGTGAAACTGACATTTAGGACAAACTGACCTGCAAACTATGACGCGAAAAGCAAACATATCAACCAAATTACACTGTTGCAAAGTTAGCCTTAAAGATTCCAGGGACATTTTGTATATAGTCGAGTTTTGTTCACCACTTCTAGGCCCCGCAGTTTGATGAACGAAATTAGCAAAGCCAAGCTAAAAGCTTCTGGAGCAATTCTGGATTACGGTTATTATCAACCTTGTCCAGACAGGGTTCAGCAAACAGATGATTAGAAAGGAAAACGCTCTAGAATAAAAAGTGAGGAGAATTGTTGCTATTTATAATCTCAAAGTTATTTTTAAGATGTACAGAGGTCTTGCACTTGGCGAAGTGAATCATTACCCTAATTTCACGCTTACAAGGCGCACGTTTTCGATTTTTCGACCAAGCCCCTCAGCCGCTTTATATTTCGGAAAGCGATCCTTATGCCATACGATTCTCTCAAGCAATATACAGCGAGGCATGAGGTCGTTTGGTTGCGAAGTTCTTTGGCGTATTTGCGCTGGTCGATTTTGGAAAAAATCCCCTGCGCCTTGTACGCGTGAAATTAAGGTAATTGAAGTTTTCTGCTTTATAGCTTTGACTTGCTCTGATACGAGTCCCAAGAACGGCTGGGGCTCAAAGGCACCGTCCAGGAAGATCTCGACTTTTATTTTTTTTGCGTTATCCAGGCCTTTTCATGGCGCTGATTCCAAGAATGGCACTCAAAATGGATAAATTCCTCACCCCCCCCCCCATTTCTGAGACAATTCTAAGAGAGGCAGGAAGAGTGCTTCTAGCGCAATCCTTGTCGACAAGCATTAACAGGTTAACTCTAGGTATTCTATTTTGCTGCGTGAAAACACGTCAAGGGCTGAGGAGAGTTCGTTCAAGAGGGCGGCCCGTGCGAGGGAGTGGGCGTGGTCCTCGAGGCTTGGTGCAAAAGGAGAAAATCGGCGTCTGCGCCGATTTTCTCCTCTTACAGGGGGTGTACAAAAGTCGGACTTGTGCGATAGTTCTAGATCGAGGCGTTAGTACTCGGTTATGATGATATCCTATA